AAAAGAAATATATATATCTCTAAATCCTTTGATCAGAACTGAAATGCGAAACTACAAATGCCACCTGAATGAAAGACCTTTCTAGTTTTATTCTATATGATTTTCTAGTTAATCCGTTAACTCGATCAATGTATTATTCTGTATCTGTTGCCTTCTAACTACACCAAAATCCAAAGTCCAAAAAAATCAGACAAATCAATTCAATTCAATTCAATTCAATTCAATTCAAGAATTTACTGCCGATCGCGTTTAGCATGTAAATAACTACTATCTATCTATATCTATATCAATATTATTTCTTAACAATTGGGTATTTTACCAAATACCAAAGAGTCCATATTACTACCAGAAGATTTCTTAATAAGTCTGTATCCGCGTACACGTACCAAATAGTATCACAAATCGTTTCAATTTTAATGTAGATCTCGTCGTGTTCCAAACTCCAATCTCTCGTAGTACTCGTATATCACGTGAACCACCAACCACCAACCTAACCCAACCTAGCCCAGCCTTGATTGATCATATCGGAGACTAGTTTTCAACAATCTGCTCCCGTTTTAATTTGCCATTTCTCTCAACTTTTTTGAATTATTCTAACGTCTATTTATACTTTCTCATACTAAATACGTAAATATATATGTTATCTATCTAACATTTCTTTCTAACTACCTACTAGATACGTTAGACTAGTCGCATTTACAACTGATAAGCAGATTCCAAACCAGTTCCCACATTATATATATATACTCTTATATACATACATTGGCAACAAATCGAGAAAAGAAAGCCCACATTGAGATCGAACTGCTAGGGAAGTGCGAGGAAGAGGAGCTATTTTAATTATTATTTGATGCTGTGGCTGTAGCTGCGGCTGTGGCTGCTTCCAACTGATTGACATTCAAATTGATACAAAAATCCACAACATATGTACACGCACATCCTTCTCATCTATGAACACGCTTATATTTCTATATGTAGAGCTCTCTCGCACCGTTAGATCACGTTGATCGCTATGCAAAATTGCTTCCAGACATCGCAAGCGCAGCTTTCTTGTTACACATCGCCGAGCAAACAAGCAGCCAGAAGCAACACTCAAACTACGTCGAACTAAGCAATACACTACCAAACACACTTGGCCTGTAGGCCTACAGCAAAGCGATATAGAATCTATATCAATATCAATATCAATTACAATATCTATAGCTGTATCTGCATCTGAAAGATATGCATTAGGTTTTCGAACATTTCTTTTCTTTGTACGCCTGCTGAGATTGTGCAGTGTTGATTTGGATTGTTCTGGGCTACAGCTAGACAAATTTAAATACTGTCACAAATACTACAATCGCAGAACACACGAATCATCATCCATCAGCTACATGCATACATGCATACGTACATACGTACATACCTGCTTACATGCATTTCAACATACATGCATAAGAATCTGTTTATATTTTTGTTGTGCAATATTTACCTAAAGACGTCAAGATCATTATCGCTATAGAAACTTATTTGTGCTATATCTATTTATTAGATCTATGTATATATTCACGCACACTTACATACATGCATACACACTCTATGTCTATCACACCCACACATATCTAACTTTTAGCAAATATGTTCTCACATATACAATGAATGTTCTTCAACTGAATTTGACTTTATCATTTTATATATGTAGTGTGTGTGTTTATTTTATTTTTTAATTTTTTTTTTGTAACTTGATTTCTTATTCCGACTTCAATTATATATATAATCGAAAAAACAAAAACCAAATAATAACTAAATTCGAACACACCATAAACCAAACATCAACATATAATGTTATATGCAATCCATTGACAACTCAACCCAACCCAACCCACAAAAGGGGTTCGTATTTCAAATACGAGGAAGACGAACTGCTGCCCAAACAGGAGATGCGCGTGTGGAAGCCACGCAGCTTCCACTACGACAATGTCGCCGCTGCCATGCTGACGCTGTTCGCCGTGCAGACCGGCGAGGGATGGCCACAGTAAGCTCTGTTTGCTCTAAGATTTGTGTGTTTTGATTTTGATGCTTTTCCTTGACTTGTATGATTTAACTCACCTGATACTGATACTGATACTGATACTGATAATAATGATAATGATTTAAATATTGTGCTGTTCTGTTAAGCGAGTGCGGATGGTGAATAATGAATTGTTACTTTTACTTTTTTGTTTGTTTTGTGCTATCTTCACACACACTAAAATGTTGCTAAATGGTAACCGTCCAATAGGGTCTTGCAACACTCAATGGCTGCCACTTATGAAGATAGGGGTCCAATCCAAAATTTCCGGATCGAAATGTCCATCTTTTATATAGTATATTTTATTGTATTTCCATTCTTCTTCGTCAACATATTCGTCGCCTTGATTATCATAACATTTCAAGAGCAAGGCGAAGCTGAATTGCAAGATGGTGAAATTGACAAAAATCAGGTGAGCGAGACAATCAAAATTTTTACAAAAAAAACAAAAATAAACAAAATTTAAAAACTACAAATACAACAAAATCAAAACTTAAACAATGCTTTTATGTGTGTGTGTGTGTTTCATTACTCGTAAAATTTATAGTCGTTAACAATTATCTATGTATCTGCACGTAAATGTACACACATACATACAACGATACCCATACATGTACAAGCTACCTCTATTAGATAGTAACCCATTGATGTATGTATATGTATGCTAGCCAAACTCAAATACTAACTACAACCGAAAACACACTGATCGGCAAACGTTGATCGCTCTGCCTGGGCTCTGCCCAACTGCCTTCCAGCCCAACACCCACAAATCGTTCCAATTTCTGCCTTCTACTATATCTTCTATACACAACTCTTCTGACCCCTGGCTTTTGCCCTGCCCCTGACCTGCCTTGTGGATACATATTAGATATTGCGTTTAACATGTGAGAATTGTTTTTTATGGCTGAAAACATTTGACATGATCTCTCAAATATGACATGATACAATATCTAATATAGTAATAATATGATATGAACTGATAAAAAACAATTCTCGTATGCAAATTCCTTTGGAATCTAGCGTAGAATAGTTTAGTTTTCTTTTGTTTTGGAAACTTATTGCAAAACTAGTTTTAAACTCAAGATGTAAATACATCTATCTAGCTATCATGGCATAGGCCTTAGGGCACATTTAGCTAGGGTTAATATATCGATCGGAATCTGTATATAAGACATCATTAGAGACCCATTGAATATATATAGAGAGTGAACATTTACCGGAAAGTAGAGATTTTTGATAATACTCACGATAGTCCTTAAATATTCAGTCATGAATATTTAACGATTAATATCGTAAAGTCATAAGCTATATCAAGTTGCTGAATAACAATACGCTCGACACTGTAAGTATGCCATCAAGCCAGCAATATCTCTTATAAAGGCGATATCCGACATAACCAATTGATATGCATTTCTATTATTTATTAGCTATCGATTTATATATAAAAACACATATATATTATTATTTCCAATGTAACTATATCGACCTACATATGTATATAAATTATAGTAAGGCACCAATTCTCACATCTGGAATCGATTCAACTATTGCACAAAAAATGCAAAATTTTTCCATTCAGTTGATCTTGTATTGATTGGCATGCATCTCACCTAGTAGCTTATGAATAAACATTTCAATTGGGCCGATCAATATTACGTAAAACTCATTAGCGAGCAGACTTTATACATTCATCTTTATATACTATAGCCTGCACCCATTGCAAATGACTGTAGCAGCTGATCCTATATAATATACGTAAATTCTTAATATGGATCCTATATAAAATATGTATAGAAACTTCTTAATCTGGTTCAACTGTTGCGTCGATTTAGCTACTATATACGTCTGTCTCACTATAGAATCCTTTTGGTTCATTAGAATTCGATACTTCGTCTAGTCAACAGAGTAGAGAGAATGAGTTATTGAGTAACTGAAAGTATAATTAGGAATACCTCGTAATAGATAGGCATTACCAAATATTTGCATATTTCTTTCTTATACCCTATACTTGAACAATTATACAATGCCGTTAAAAAAAAATCTAGTTGTCTTAACATAATTTCGTGAAGTTAATTTGTTTGAGCACCAATGAATTTCGAAACAGCCTAAGATACTCTGTGCTAGTCAGAACTGGGTATATTAAAATATTTCTCGATCAATTCTACTTAAAAGTAGCTTCGATTAAAAACTAATTGTTCGATTTTTTCATCACTTTGATTATTTTATAAGACCTTTAGACAGTTAACATATGTTTCAACAGACTATTAAAGATGCTAGTAGACTGGAGTAGTTGTCGCCAACATTAAGAAGCTTAGTTGATACTTGACATACAGCTATTGAAGACATAGCCTTCTATAGCTGTCAGCTCGTTCTCAGTTCTCAATTTGCATTGGGTGCTGGACATAATTTATAGCAAATATAAAATGTTTAGCTCTACACAATTTGTTGCTAGTTTCGCATGTGGTATTATTTAATTGTCTCTTTTCCCACAGAAATCGTGCATTGATTTTACGATCGGAGCTCGGCCACTTGAGCGATATATGCCCAAAAATCGAAATACCTTCAAGTATAAAGTGTGGCGCATTGTTGTCTCTACACCATTCGAATACTTTATAATGATGCTGATTGTGTTCAATACGCTGTTGTTAATGATGAAGGTAAGTTACTGATTCATGATTCACGAATATGAATACTAATACGGTATAGTATATACGAGAATATTCTGATGAGTAAGAGAAACGTATTCATTACCATAAAAATGAGCCAGTCTATAGCTAATAGCTATGCAATATTGCTCAAAGCTTTTGCATTATAGTTGACATAAATAGAAGATTTCAATTTAGAATTATGTTCATAATAATTAAATCCCAATACACTCGTACAAAGCACTTTATCTGAATCGTGCAATATATATACCGATATATTCGAAATGTATTTCATTTATTAATTTCTTGGTTTTGATAGACTGAATGATACAAGTTCTAGTTGGAATACTAAACTTTTTCAAGAAAAGAATGAAATCTACTTTATTTAAAAGTTTCTCTAAAAATGTATTCAGAACATAAATTGTAATTATCAGGAGATATTCAGAGCTCTCTACAAAGACACACAACTCATCAACTCAATATACGTAATATTGAATTCTGAAATGGAACAAAGTAGCAAAGTTTTTGTCAAGGGACTTTTAGACATCCTTTGTATTTTTACAGTCAAGAAGATTTCTAGACTAATCATATACAAACATCATCTCAACAGTATCATAATCAAAGCGAGATGTACGAAAAGTCACTAAAGTACATCAACATGGGATTCACAGGCATGTTCAGTGTTGAAACTGTTCTAAAAATAATTGGATTCGGTTTCAAGGTAAGTTACATAAGTATTCAAGCTCAATATTATTCAAACTCAGCATTATTGCTAAACATTAAGTCTTAATGGGTGGGGTATCTATAAGAGGGAAGATAGGTTCAAGTAAACCTATATAAAAATGAATGAAGACCTATATGCTCATTTCATTTATGTTGAAGCTGTGACGCTCAGCTCGAGTTATAAATTTTCTCGAATAATTGTAAGACTTTCCTATATCATATAGGAGTTTTCCTGTTGGATGTATCCGACTTACGAGTTACCCGACACCTCGATCCACTATATATACAAAGTCATTCAAATTCTAATCTATCTATCTCTGATCTTTGATCACTGACCTCTAATCTTTGATCTCTGATCTCAAATCTTTGAACTCTGATCTTTGATTTATAATCTCTAATCCTCAATCTTTAATTTCTAAGCTCTGATCTCTAATTCCTTATTTGTGATCTATGATTTTTGACCTCTAATCCCTGATCTGTGGTCTCTGATCTTTGATCTCTGATCTCTGATCGTCTCCTGCTAGAATTTTCTCTACGAACATGGGTAGAGCTTTGCTTACGTATATATCTAAGCTTAAGTACGCTAAATAATATTTTGAAACATTTGTTTTATAGAACTTTTTCAAGGATCCATGGAACATTTTTGATCTAATTACGGTATTGGGCAGCATTGTGGATGCTCTCTGGATGGAATTCGGGGTAATTATATGCTGTTCAGCACGAGCTTAAACTATGACCCATACATATTATTGTTGTGTTCGATTTATGTAGGCCGTTTTGCAAGACAAACAAACAATGTAATTCATAAGTTAAACAACAAAGTATATATATATATTTCATTTTGTGTTCTTTTTTGTTTGGTTCTTTTACCAAGATACTCGAACCCGAACACAATTCATATGAATACCAAAAATCACAAATATGCAAACATATACACCCACACAAGATGTATATATCTATATACACACGTACACATGTTAATGTGAACAGACGTGCATATGTATTTAAGTCACAATTCTATGCAATAAACGGACTATTGTGATCTTCAACGAACGGACGATACATGTGAATGAGAGAGTATATGACATATGCAAAAATGAATTTTAAGTTAACTATTAATGATGAATTGAGGTGATTTCGATTCAGAGTATATATGTATATGAAACGTTGAAGCACCCGTGAATAATATCACGAATTTTGACCTATTTAAGAGAGTGGGAAAAAACCTTTGGTGGGGTAAATTTCTTGGGTGATTATCATCTATTCATAATCATAATCTCATACTAAATATTTTGGGATAGGACTTTTAAGTATTTATATTATAGATATACTTATCTCATCTACTGCCTACCTCAGGGTCACGTGCAATCCTTACGGAGTGTGTGTTATAGACAACATCTGACACTGCTGTTAATATATATATATATGTACTATATGTAAGCACAGGCACACAAGAAATTGTTAATAACAAATTTACCTTTGATTTAACACAGAAACAAAAACAAAAACAAAATTTTAATATTTCTTTTATAAACTCCCACGAAATACAGAAATTAATAATCATATTTCTTTTTGATTTCCTTTTTCATATTTATTTGTGTACGAAAACGATTACCAAATACGAAATGTGGTGTCAAAATCGGGAAAACCAAATCCGAATCAAACCAAAAAAAAAAAAAAAAAAAAAAAAAAAAAAAAAAAAAAAAAAAAAAAAAAAAAAAAAAAAAAAAAAAAAAAAAAAAAAAAAAAATGATGAATGCAAAAATATAATAAAATAAACACTCACGCAATCAAACAAAAATATGTACACCCTTCACATATATATTAATGTATGAATTATGTAACACATGCAAATCTATACGCATTACCTGCATACCTATGTACATGTATATACATTATGTACATGCACTCACATGCGTGTGTGTGTTTGTACATCCATTTATGCATGTATATGTATATATGTATGTAAACATCAATTATATTATACAAATGCCTCCTATCAATAAATATTCCCACATATAAATTGGCCATCGGGAAACAAAAACCATCACGTTTATCACTGTCCAACACGATATATGCATATATATATCTATATCAATAATAACCAAAAATTATAAACAAAAAACAATTTAAAAAACAAATACAAAAACACCCACACATGTACTATGTAATTACAACACCAATGCCAAATATCAAATACCAAATACCAAATGCAATGAATATGCAACTAACTCGTTCATCACCAATCACAACTTGTATTAAACAAAAACAAAAACAAAAACAAAAAAACCAAAAAAAAAAAACAAAAAAAAAATGAAAAACAAAAACAAATTCACCGAACAAAATTAATACCACGATATGAAATATGAAACGAACCCAATCAACAAATTGAATTGTATTACAAACATGTTGTCATTCAACAATTATTACTATGCATGCATGTGTGTGTGAATATGTGTGTATGTGTTGACACGCACACGCACACACACCAAATGGCACACACATATGCATACATACATATATATCCATATATATATACATATGTATATATATCGCAATATATGTATACATATATATCTGTATATGTATAACTCATCAACAACTACATCGACATGTACAACAAATTTCAACACCAACAGCACGATGTAAGTACGAAACACAATCTACACAGAAATTGCATTTTTCCAAATCCTACTATGTGTACAAAAAGTCAAATGATTTAGCTTTCGCTTTTACTGCTAAGCACTTTTCACTTACCTACCTAAACTAAGCTTATTAGATTTTATACTTTTCCATAACATTCTCTATTCATTTTCTCCTCCACACGCATACACACACACACGACCTCACACACACACACTAAACAATTTGCCCACACACATTTGTATTAAAGAGTTGCATTTATTTCTATCTACTATCATTTAACAGCGGCGAATCTAACAATTAATATTAACTCCTAATCTTAATCTTAATGAAACTGAGTAAACTAATTATCAAATATATATAGTATATATTTATAGCTATATACCTATATATATGGGACTCTGATTCTGAAAATAAGTTGTATATAGATAACAAGTTAAACTATAATTTCGTATAGCTCGAATTATTTATGCATATAAATATATTTGCCACAAAAGCTTTTCAGATCTCCATTATAAGTTCATGTCAAATATATTTGCTGTAAAAGCCTTTAACATCTCTCGATATAAAGATTTCTATCATAAGCTCACATGAAACATACTTGCTATAAAAGCTTTTAAAGTCTCTAGATATAAATATCGCTATCATATATTCATATCGAGCGTATTTGCTATAAAAGCTTTTAAGGTCTCTAGATATAAAGATTACTATTATATATTCCTATAAAAGATATTTGCTGTAGAGATATATATTTGCCTCTGGCACCAATAAATTCTTTTCCTATATTCAAGGAATTCTAAACCTTTAAGCTATATATAGTTTTGATAGAGCTATGTCATTTTCCTAGCTGGAGAGAGCCAAAGAGTTGATCAGTGAAATTAATTTTGTGTATTTCTAATTTTTTTGCTGCATTGTTTTTTTTTTTTTTTTTTTTAGTGTAGAGCAATTCTAAAGATCGTCGATCGATGTTACCCGATATACATAAATATATATGTATATGATAGTAGGGGTATTTGGATTTTCGGCTCGCCGAACACAATTCGTTTGCCTTGTTTCAATCAACTTCTTTGTTTCCTTCCGTTGCGCCTATATACATACATACATAGTATTTCTGTGATTTTTCCCATTTTCTGTTGCGAAGCACACCAAATTGCGATTGTATCTACTTCTCTTTTAAATTGCGTGTCTAAGTCTGTAGTCAAGTTGGTAGATGAACTTATAAAGCGGCTGGATGGGTGTCACGTTCTTTAGTTTCTTATTTCCTTTTTCATAAATATTTATGATTTAATTAGAAATTTGATCAAACAATTGCTTTGTGACAGACGACTTGCATATACTTCACACTATACCGAATGTTGTTTTGTAGACAATTCGAACTCGCACTCAATTATTTACGTATGTATTTGGCAAAAGTCCAAGATCAAGAGATCAGATGGTCTGCCTTAAGCATTAAATGAAATCGATTTTAATAATTATTTTCAAATATTTCCTTCTATATGTATATACAATGTTTCACTCTAGTATTTAATATGATATTTTGTCTTTGCTATATAAATAAATAAACATTTCAAACAAAAGAGAGAAAATGAAGCAGACTTTCAGGCGATTTACCTTTAGTTATATGAAGCTATGCAACAGTTGTTCTATTTCACCTTCTTTTTGCTCAATATTTGCGCATGGATTTGATTGATCGATCTAACAAAAAAAACAAAAACCAAAAACAAAAAACCCGAGCCTGTATTCTTTTATTTAACATGAAAAATACAAAGCTTTCTCTATACTTGAACATGAAACTTGCAATGAAAACTGAAAACTTGAAACTCGTTCAAAAACGCTTTGATGACACTCACACACACACACGCACACTAAGAGAGACACGCGATTCGAACAGTCCCAACTACAGTATAATACCAAGTGCCAATACAATAACAAACTATAATTTAATATCGATAAATTCAACAAATATCGATACGATATCGATTGCGTGTAACTGTGTAAGTGGAGTTATTTAGCTAACAAGCGTGGCGAATGTAAGTAATAGTAATATTGGATTCAAGGACTTCCATTCCAAAATCTATGTGCACTCAAAGACTTTCTTAAATACCAAATATATACTTGTGTATATCCTCTATAAACTGTATATAGCAAACATGTTCGCATGAAGTAAGCTCCATATGGATACTTAGAGTGTCTCGCTTCTCAGCACATGGCAAGAATATATATTTTTCATATATATTGTTGCCTACTCTAACTATTTTTAATTATTTTAACTAGGTGCCTCGAATGTAGAGCTTTCAACTATCCCCTCTAAACCGACTACGGGTCTACAACCACTTTCCAATATCTTACTAGTGTTCATTCTCTATCTCTTCTGAAGATTCTACATCTAACTGACATACCTCCTTCAATAAGCCTGAATATATATTTTTTTCTTTGCTGTCTTCATATGCTAAGATCGTCGCAATCGTCCCAATCGATCGATCGATCGATCCATCGAGTTGGCTTGCTGATAAACTGATCCTTATAAACTGTAGTCCATAGTCTAGTGTTATGATGCAAGTACGAACCTTTTTCAAATTGATTAGATTGATTCGATGCATGCTGCAACTGAAAGAAGTTCCCTCTGAATGCCATTGGGTGCTGTTAGGCTTAAGCTGCTGTATAACTTTGCTTTGTTCACACGATACTTTAAGAGATTTACATACAACAATACCATATTTAGATGTATATGAATGTATATTTTTCGACCACTGCCTCAGGTATGTAAGTCCCATCATTCGGTGTCATCATGTGATGCACAATACTTGCTGCCCTTGTCCATTAGCTTGCAGTTAACACTCAGTTAAGATCCAGTACAACAACGATTCATACGTAGTTAAAGGTAGAGACGTACAAGGCTTGATAGAGCAGCAGCGCGATATGAAACGATATACATATATAAACAAAAACAAAAACAAATACCAACCAAGAAACATCAACATATACAACAAAACACACGAATACTAATTCTGTTCACAAATTTTCATTGATTTCTCTCTCTCTCTCTATATATATATATATTTGCAAACTGCAACAAATTCAATTCAACTATTATTACTAATTTTCAACTCTACTTTATTAATTTCTTTGTTATTTTTTC